TATTCGGTAAAGTTTACCTTTTCAGTTTATTATTTTTATTAAATGTGTGAAAATAAGAACTTCAGAATTTCTTGCGAACTGTTATCATATGAAAGGAGAACTTATTAAATAAATGCTATAAATATCATATATTTTGTATTTTTGTAACAAGTATTACGTCATTTTAAACAGAAATGTAATTACCATACAATACAGTTATTTTATCATAATCTTTTTTTCCGTTTAAAAATATAATCTTTATGTTAAATTTTATAATTCAAATACGTTTTACTGTCTTGAGAAATGAGCGGCAGCAGAAGTGAATAAATTTTGAAATCAGAAAAAACTTAATAAAATAATTTTTTTTTTGTTCTTTATAAGTGTATTTTGTTATAATATTTGTTATTCGGAAATAAAATTATATACATCAAGAATCACAAACAATTATTTAATTGAAAAAAAAAACACTATTTAAATCTGTAAAACCACAGTACAAAAAGGCAAATGGAATTAACAACAAGACTGGTATGATTGCGAATATAATGTTTAATGAGAAAAAACATTATATTCGCAATCATACCAGCAGTCATATAATATTTGTAATTCAGAAATAAAATTATATACATCAAGAATCACAAGCAATTATTTAATTGAAAAAAAAACACTATTTAAATCTGTAAAACCACAGTACAAAAAGGCAAATGGAATTAACAACAAGACTGGTATGATTGCGAATATAATGTTTAATGAAAAAAAACACGATTACACTTTTAATACATTTTTAAAATTCCCATTTATATTGAAACATTATGATATCATGATTTGAAGCGTAAAATGGAGAAACATCGACGAAAAATGGAGGATTAAGATGGGAAACAAAACTAGAAAAGTAGTCGAGAGTTGTTGTACATAACTATTCTTAGATTATGAGGCTTTTTAGAACCAACCATACACTTTATAATTTTTGAAGCATGTTTAACAGAAACTTAGTAAAATTTTGCTGCTACCTTAATATAGTACTGTCAGGGGAAGTAAGTGCACATCTGTTAAACTACAATAAGAACGAAATGAATTTTAATTTAATGAACATTCTCTAAAAAATAGGGTTGAATATAAATTTGCCACCACAGCGGTTCTTTGGCCAAGTAATGACAACTTAATGTTGTAGTTCATTTATTTATAAAACTAAGAAAAAATCTCATTAAGGATGTTCAGGCTTGACCAAATGGTATAGACTTATGTCGGCTTATGAGAGAAAAGTGACCCACCCCAGCACTTTTTAAATTTTCATTTTTTAGTACAGAAAAATGTGTTATATTTTATTGAAGTATGTATAATTAAAAATTTTTTTAAATAAGTATTTATTTAAAAATTTATCTATTAATTTTAAATTATTTTTCTTCTTCTTTTCGCTAGCTAAATAGAAGTTTTTTTTAAACGTAATGATTATAAAGAAATTAAATTGCTTTTAAAGTCAAAACTTTTACTTAAATAAAAATAGAAATAACTTTACTTAAAGAAAAATTTTACAAAATTCTATACTTTATTTTTTAAAAATATTTATTATTTTAATAAAACATTCTTCTTCAATTATTTATTCATTAAAATAATTTATTTACATTTTTTCTTTAAAGAATTTTAAAGCTTTTTTTTATATATTAGACTTTAACTACAAAAGAGAAGTAGGTTTTTTTCAAAGAAAAATTTAAATCATTTCTTGTTTGTTTATTTTTCTTTAGAAAACAAAACCTTTTTTAAATCTTATTAAAAAGTTATAATTAAATATATTACATTAAAAATGATTTTAAATACATAAATATGTATTTAAAATAAATAGATACCATATATTTGAATGAAGAAATGAAAGAGTGTCTTCGCCTGGTATAGAAGCGTCGTTCTCTCAGGTATAGGTCTGAAGGTTCGTGTAATTAAGCACACAATTCGGGTAACTAACTACAAAAGTTTAAACGCTTTTATTTTCATTAATAAATGAACAATACTTTGATTGGTCATTTAATTATCAGGGTTCCGCAATGGAGTCAACTTTTTATCTTACCTCATGTTCAGATTGGAATTGGGAATATGGATTGTCGCCATCTCATACAATAGTGTCATTTTAAATAGAGTTCGTAAGGTCCATAAAACTAAGAAGATAAGGTGTACAGATAACTTAGAAGAAAGTAACTTTCAATCCTTTTTTCCTGATGGATGAAATATTGATTGGGGTTAATTATTAACCATGCGATATCAATCTTCTTATTGGATTGATTTGACAACACATAAGAAATTATAAAATGCTTGCATGTTTTCCGTTCTTAAATCAGAAGATTTACATAAATCTGCCGATTGTTTTAATAATTTTATAATATTTACCTTCGACTTATTTAGGTGATTGCCACCATTTTTAGAGTTGATATACACGAAAGTTTTTTACAGTTTGAGTGACTTTAACATAAATGACTTTGTCGGTTACCGTTACGGAAATTGTGGTCCCGTACAATCGAAATATATTTGTCCGTTTGTTTCTATTTTTGTTCTTGTATATAAAAATAGTAATATAAAAATGCTTTAATGTTTTTCAAATTAGCTCTAAAGCAACTGTTTTATCGTAATGATGTGGTGTCCAACTTTGCTAAATCGACAAATCGACCACTAAGTCATTTCTAGAAAACTGTAATTTCGGGATCTATTTGAACATCATTATTATCAAAAAGCAATAAAATTATAATAAAAATTAAGACATTTTAAGTCAATAATAATAACATTATAAGTCAATAATAACGCAAAATTCACCATTTTAAGGCAATAAAGTCCTTTCAAGTGTACACGAACATCAAATCTATAAAAAGAATGTCCCCGAGCAACATATGATAACACTTCCGGCCTTGGGCAATTAAGCAGCTCTTAATCCTTATAGTATAAATGGTTGGCAGTGTAAAGCTAAAGGCAGATGGAACTAGGATTTAACACTGAACTTACTATAACAGGTCAAATGACCGTTTAAGAGCTTTTGCATCGAGAATGCGCTTATCAACTTATCGTTTTTGCACATTTGACTTCATGACTTTTTTCTAACAATTATATACGTTAATACTCCATTATTATTTTTTTGTATTTTGTTTGTTTCGAATAATACTTGTCGTATACCTATTTTTATCACAATCTGTCATTTGACCGGAGAACAATTTATTGCTTCATAAGGTTATTGGATCAGAAATTGCGATGTAATGCGTGTTAAACGTATTACATTCGATTAGTTGCACATTTCTGCAAACACTGTGGCATAGTTAGTTCAATCAGAATAACTGTGAATTCAAATTTCAAGAAAGTACCTAAAATTTTACATTGGTATTTTGTGTAAGGTACACTGTAAGGTTACATTGGTATTTTGTGTAAGGTACACTGTAAGGTTACATTGGTATTTTGTAGCATTGGCAAAAATTAAATGTTTTGGTAAATAGTTTGTATTTTATTTTGATATCTTTACTTCATTTCTCACTAACTGTGAGTTTTTACCCAGAAAAATGTCGAAACAATCAAGACAGCTCAAGTTCTTAGAAGAAATAATGCTAATTATAAGAATAATTTGAAGAATTAAAATTCTTATATATTCTCATAATTACATAAGAATTATAAAAATTATAGAAATAATAATAATTTGAAGAAATATGTTTACGGAAAATACACAATGGAAACACCCTGTATATGTAAAAAATTCTTGCTCTTATTCTTTGTGTCCGTAATACATAAAAATTGGCAATATACAATTTTGTTTAATTATGATAAAACTTTTTAGTTTATTTCCTTCCCAACATCCATATTTCATACATTCAATTAAGAAACATAAAGTTGGGTCATTTGACGGGCTATGGTAGAAATAGGTATATATTAAGTGCTAGTATGGTTTAGTGTTCAAGAAATAGAAAATTAGAAAAAAGTATCTTTTGCTTAAACACGGATCCTTAAGAGTTGTCACACTTTCTTAACCTTTTTCATTGCTGTTCTGAGCTCTACACTGTAAAAATTTCTACATCAGATTACGGTAAAAAGTTTTGGCCCTCTAAATGCATCCGTAAAATCCATTTTCTCGTAAACCATTTTTATCCTAAAATTTTATACCGTAATTTTCGCAGTAATATTTATATATTTACAATGATTTGGTGATTTTACAGTTAATATTATTGTATGTAAAAATTATTTTTTGACCAAAAAAATGTTACGCACCCTCCAATATTATTATATTTGCGGTGTTTTCAACATAGCACGTTTTTTTCCATCTAACTTTTAATGAAACGAACTATAAATAAATTCGGAAGCCTCCGAATATAACCAAATAAAGTAAAACACTCAAAACATTGCTAGCCTTAAACTTTATTTATGCTGTAATATTAATTTTGTTAAATTTGTTTTAGTCTCACGACCTGTTGGAATTTGTTACAGAAAACTCTTTTGAATTGTAAAATTACGAGCAAATTTAAACATGAATCACAAAAATAAAACTTTCTAGAATATTAAGCCTCATCGCAATGAAAGCATAACATAAGCGGAGAAATACACCGGAAGTTTTTCAAATTTTTTTCCGTTTTTAATACGCTTGTTATTGTTTCCCAAACTCATGACCTTTGTGTATCCTTATCTAAATTTTTCGTAACGATACGTAGCACTTATTAAAAATGAATGTAATTTTTATTATAAATTTTTTTTACAAAAGTTAAAAATCACAACTGGCTGTTGACACCACTAATTATCAACTGCTAACTCTGCACAAAATAGCCAATAGAAAAATACGTAATCGTAAATTTTCATATCTAGTTTCGTTTTTAAATAAAAGTTTTTGAAATTTTAATTTGTTGCAAGATATTTCGCATAATAACGCGTGCCCCCGCTAAACCGTACCACATTTTGGAAAACACTGCCCTACTTATACACTCTGTATAGAAATTTTTCCTATAGAAATGTTTCCTATAGAAATGCTTCCTCAATGAGTTATATTTTGTACTCACGCTTCAGGAGAACCTCTTTGTAATTTTAAATTTGATTTATTTAATTCATATTGTAATAATTTGCTTATTCAGTACCAGCTGTTTATTTCAATGACAGATATGATGAGAAGACCCTTTTTAAACGATGTTTGGAGCAAAAAAAGCTTTCAGAATCAATTTGGTCAAACACATTGGAGGGGTATACAAATTGGTGTGGAATTCGTCATGGAAATGTTTTGCAGATACAATCTAATTTACATTATGGTTTCATCAGTTGCCTATTGCAATGGATTTGACTTCGGAGATATTATGAAAAAAGCACGTGAACAGGCGATTATAGCTATGGGTTCTTCTTATGTAGATTGTTTTACGCGTCAATATTGTGATTGTGGTAAGATTATTATTTTTTTAAAAACATTTACCTCTATTGTTGGAAGAAAAAGACATACCTAGACGTTCATTTTGCGTTTCTTAATTCATTCCGGATATTATGACTTTAAAGTCTGTTTCAAAATTAAATATACTAATTGAATAAATTGTATAAAAATTTAGCAATTGAGAAATAGCTTAGACTGTGTACAATATTATGAATGTTATATATATATATATATTGTTAGATTTCAAAAAAATTAGTTTATTTCCTCTAATAGATCTTAATAGTATCATATGGGAAATATTTATACGTGGGATATGGTGGCACTAGTGTTCTTTTTAGTGCATGTGTGTTNTATATATATATATATTAAAGTGTTATTAAATGTATATTATATATGGATTTAATAACACTTTCCGTTTGTCAACTCCGGCACATATGATGTTTAGGATACAATATAATTTAATAATTCTTGTTATCTAAAAAACAGAATGTTCTCAAAAATATTTGAAAAGTAACATTTTGCTCGAGGTTAAAGTAACACTTCAAAATGTACACTTTAAAGATACTTTAAAAGTTTTAGCCAAGCAAATATGTTTTTCAAATAAGAATCTGGTGAAAAAATTTATTTTATTGTAGAGGAAATTTTCTATTTCTTACATGTTTATAATAAAACATTATCTACAATGTTATTATATCGGATAAAATTTGCTATTCATAAATACACTGAGAAAAAGAGTATTTTATTGCTGCTAATAAATAAATATGAAGTTTTTTGCACCAATGCATTTCAGATTTTGCATAAAAATAAACATTTATTAATGTAAATATTTCTATCTCTCTAAAGAAACTAAGCGAAATTGACTTTGATATCTTTTATGTAATCTGATTTTATATTTTACGAATGTTTATTTTTATTTAATGTTTATATTAAAAAGAATAGTTAATAATCGTAAAACAATTTATTTCATTGAAGGTGCCATTTAGACTTAAAATAAAATGAGCAATCATTATTATTATTATTATTATTATACCATAGAAATTTCTAACGTATTTGAAATATTATAATAAATTTTTTTACAAAAATTCGCAACATCTCAACCATCACTATTTATCTGGGAATCTATTACAAATGTCAGATTGCAAAATTCATAACTTTTTTCCTTTAAAATTTTCCAAATCAGCACATTACTTGATACACAGGAGGTTCTTTATCAAGCAATATATATATATATATATATATATTTTAATCATCAAGCCATCTGGTATACAACGAATAGAGTTGTAACAAATGCTTATGATTTTATTAATGATCCATCTATGTTCCAACAAGGGGAACTTTAATTATTAACTTTAAACACGATGAATGTATGCTTAAGATCTCATTCCATTAATATGACATACTAAGGCATCATGAATTGACGTTGTCCAGTTTCTGCCAAAAAAGATTATGTTCTAATCAGTGGAAAAAAAACTGTTTCTCTTTGTGCTATTAATTGTTTTTACAAAATTTACAAATCATCAGGATCACCTGTTCCTCCTACAAGCGAGGAAGATAAATATGAGTGAAGGAATAATTTTTCTAAAGATCTTGTTTACATTAATCAGCTGTAGGATGTACAACACAATCTAAGGAAGGAGCCTGTGAGATTTTCAATCAAAGCTGTTTTATATATAAATAAATCCTTTAGTTTTGGTATCATAATTCTGTGTTACATAAAGGGATATTTTTTGTTTCTGTTGATTTAAATATCTAAAAAAAAACTACATCAGAAATATTGCTATTAAAAAGCATATCAAAAAGTTTTCGTTGCAATGGTTTGCCATACACGCTGTGCTTATGTCACTGCGGTCACTGTTTGAACTGCTTACAGTTTGGAAACAAATCTGTCGCATCTTATGAATTATTTTTTTATATAATTTTAATCAAAATTATGCATAATTTGTAGTATTTATTTGTAGTACTTCTGAAGTTTTTGCGATTGTATTCAATAAGAACTGTTAAAAAGGATTTATAAGCAATTTCTGTAAAATTGAGTAAAATATTTAAACTTGACGAAATTATTTAAAAATTTTGTGTTACTGAAAATGCACTTTTATTTTTTTTCCTTTTAATGCAATTAAATCTGAAAAATAAATTTGAGTTAAAATTACACCCAAGTGGTGTAGAGAAACGACATTTACAACTCATATAAATCTAGGTGTTTGACTACGCCAAAAATTTTCTTTTATTCTTCTTAGTGCCATGTAGAAGACACCATTTTTGTTCTTTAATAACAATAACATTTATAATTACAGTAAGATATGATATACATAAGAGTCACTTAAGTTATTTTTTTCGATAAAAAATAAACTAAGAACCTTATCATAGGTATATACAATGGATGAATATACAAGGATACATACGTACAATGTTTCTATAAAAAAATTATTGATCAAACATATCCCCAGCACAATGAGAATATTTATCTGAATTCGAACAAGTTTTAACAAAATCAACGCAAGGAGCAAAAAATATTATAAAATTATTTAATTTAATTGAGAGATTTTTATTCACCATATGAGAATATGTAATAAATCAATATTATTCAAATAAATTAAAATTTTTTTTTTAACAATTTACTTTAATTTTTCTGAAATATGAGTGAAATAAAATGTAAGCTTCTTGTAAACGATGCGAAACATCGATAGTCTGACAACTGAAAAACATACAAAACAATTCATGGCATGCACAACAATCAACATTTCAGCATCCAACAACAATTCATACATACAACAATTACATACGTACATACTACAATTCAGCGTTCACAAACAATTGCAAAACCAATCCATGAATATATCTTTCTTTTGTTTAAACGGCAGGCACTGAATTAATCATTCTCGCCATGGAAGGTGAAAGTTTTGTTCATATTGCGTTGCCTGGTGAACACGTTGTGACCTAAGTCAAGGAGATGAGCAACGTTACCCACACAACACTGCCTCAGATACCCGTTCATAGGGGGGTCAACATTCACACATCACACATAAACATCCATGCCCTGCGCAGGGTTCAAACATGCAGCCATTGGCTTCGCAGTCAGGCACGCTAACCACTCGACCACCTGGCCGGCTTAATAATAATTCTTGAATGGCGTTATCTTGGTCTAAGCTTAGTAATTTATTGGAGTTTTGATTCACTTACACACTTTCAAGCCTGCATGAAAGTTAGATTCGGTTATAAATTGAGTTTTAAAACGCCGAATTTGGCACAATTTTTGGAGTTATTTTCTTGAAATGTAGTTGAAAAGTATTTACATTAGATACAGCAACTTCATAGTAAAATTAGAAAAAAAACTTTTACAGATTCTGACAAATTAATATTGAAGAAGGAGAGTTTTGACAAAAAAAAAAGAAAAAAAAAAAGACATCAAAACTAGATAATCCTTGAAGAGGATTTTTAAATTTCCATTTGTCTTTGTTTCATCCGGAAAATTAATAGGTTTTAACCTTCCCAGTTCTCAACAATTATTCGTTAGATTACTATAATTATTTTTATTCCTTTAAATAATTCTTTTCTAGACATATAACTTTAATTTAATTTTTGTTAAATATGTGGGGGTACAGTCCGCAAAAAAAAAAAAAAGATATCACCCTGAATAACTTTTGTTCTAATGATCGGATTTTCACGATTTAAGTGTCAATCTTAATGGTTCTTGGGGGTGACCTCAAATATGCTAATTAATTAGTGCTAACTATTAATTAAGTTACGAAATCAGACACAAAAACGTACTTTCTCTGAATAAACATGTATTTTTTTTTACATATTTGGAATCCTGACCCTTAAAATAGGGGGGGTAGACAAAATTTTGAGAAAAATGGGTTGTAAATTAGGTCGCAATAAGGATTTATATATCTGGCGATGGTTTAAAAATATGCCAAATTACCTCGCCATAGAAGGGGAAATAATTTATAACAACCATAAAGAAACTGAATGAATGACAAGATGGAAAAGATAGTGCTTCTCGTTGCTAAGCAACCAAAAGAATTTTTCGCGTTGCTTTCTGGGCTTTTTTTTTTTTTTT